GAATTGAAACACAGTCAGGAAAGTATATACATATGTATATATACTTACCTATGTCAAACCTAAGACTTTGCGTCTTCTGTATTTTACCCACTTACCTATGGCCGAACAATTTACTGTTAATAAAGGACTAATTGTCTTTTATACGAGTATAGTAGGTATCGGCAATACAGTCCTCAGGAGTAATTCAACGTGTACTCGGTTAATCTGAGCCGGATTGATTAAATTTAATTTTCACTTTAAAAACTTCCGTTTCAACTTGTTTCAAGGCGCCGATCGTTCAGGAAGCTATGCACGGAAACCCCGTTAAAGCTTAAATTGCCCACATACGATTCGATTATTTACATAGATACCCACTATAATAATGAAGAACATATTCAGGAAAATTGCAGCTGGTGCCAGACCAGAAACGGTAAATTTAAACTCGTTTTACTTCATTTACTCAGTTCGTTTGACATGAACCAATCGAGTATGTATTCCAATTCATCCATCATTAGACCTCAATTTTATGATGAAACTCCGACCAAAGTCAAAACTATTTTTGATAACGCCCTATAAAAAGGAATACGTATACGTATACTAGAAGGTTGTTCTTCTGTGCATTCAAAATGTCCTTGTGTTTAGATTTACTTGATCCCAGTAGATTTTTAAAACAATAAGTTTACACTACAATAACATATTATGTACAAATCGGTTTTAAGGAATCGAAACTAGCTACAGCACGAAATAAATGTTCGAGGCCTTTTAATAAGCTCAACCCTCCCAGACTCCCTTCTCATAAATGCTGTTTTCCGTGCCCTTTCTAGCGACTTCCACCTGTTTATTGGTTCAAGTCGATGGTGCCATGTTTCTTACGAGCCAGAGCCGCTTTCGATCTAACCCACCTCTCCCCATTAAAATGATAATAGGTGGAGCACCTGCGCCAGCTCATGGTTTGAAGACGATTTCCTCCCATGTAGAGAGGCGAAAGGCAATTTCCATTCGCTTCGCTACTTACCAGGTGGCTTTTCGAATACTTACGCCATTTTTCATATCGTTCCTTTTGAACGACTATTTACGTTAGATTTAAATGCAGTTAGATGAACCCACCTACAATACACATACTTTGAACAATCCTGGACGAAGGTAGTCAAAGAAAACAAAAGAAAATCTTTAAGTGAGAATCCGTATTACAGAAGCAGCTGACCATGCTCACTCACTCATACAAAGTCCACAGGCAAATGGGCTTGTGGTGATAATCTCAATTTTCGAAAACTTTCCCTAGTTAGTGACTGTTCTTTCCTTGGACCTGCATTGTTCAAGGAGCATTTGTTGGACAGCCTAATTTCGCAAAACCCGCTGTTTCCAACTTTACCACAAATCGTTCGTTTAGCAAATCGTATCGTACAACCGTAAACATTTTAACCCTGGGTGTAACACATAACCTGCATCAAAAATGCCCATAAAAAACCAGTTTTTTAGTAATTAAGTATTCCTCGTATGTTCCTACTGAGTTTGGTAACGCCGGGTTTTGTTCGCCTTTTGAAATACACACATCTTTAACGATGGAGCAAAAAACGGTGAAACCTTCTACCTATACGAAACTGGTTTGTCCGGTAATACGCGAATGAGTAAAGTCGAAAAACATCGTTAATATGTTAAGGTACTTCTTTAGTACTTTACTAGTCTATTCAGCGTCTGAATAGTTCTTTTTTAAGAAAATTGTTTTAAATTTGAGCAAGACAGAAGAGTTGAGGTGTTTTAGCACATTGACACACCTACATGTCTTGAACCCGAAACATGTCATATATTGTTGGAGATACTATACATATATTCCTTTGTATTGGTTTCGACTATTTCAGTTTTATTATAATGAAACTATTTTCGTGGGCGACATAAAACCCACTGCTGGTGACATGACGAAATGTACAGTGGCGAAACATTTACTTCACAGTAGGTATTGTGGGCGGTATTTAGATATAATTTAACGTATTTATTCTATGGACAACAATTTTTTTAATCAAAAGACAACTTGCTTGATCATACGTTAACTGGTGTCCCACAACATACCGTGTATTCGCTTTTATTTTTATATGATGTACCTATAGTCAATCAAATTACTGATTTCTGGCTTTTTGATCGAATTTGGAATTTACTAATTTACTCCAGGACGAGAACAACAAGACATTTTATTTAACTAATAAGTTGTGGGATTACGATGGGAAAAACTTAATTAATCAGACTGATCTTGAATGAGTGTTGTGTTGTTTATAGAGGAATAACCTTTTTTGTACGCCTTTCAAATCGTGTATTTTTCTGACTATCAATAATTGACATTCTTCTATTCTTTTCGTAAGAATGCCCCTATTTTCCAATTGAGATTGAGTACTCTGTAATACCCACATATGTGTGTGTGTGGCTGTGTTGTTTGCCTGCATCAGGTTTTGCATTTGTAAGTAACATGAACGGCCGTGTTTGTTAATATATTCAGCAGAACGCAGAACGGCCGCAACGGTGCATTGAACTTGTGTTCGAATTTTGCAGATCCAGCATGCCTAACGTGCTGAAGCATGGAACGGTAGCCATATTGGAGTAAGGTGAGCGTGAAGATCACGTGCATCATTAGTTTCAGACTATTCAAGTAAACTAGGATTTACTAAAAAAACAAATAAATTAACTAAATTTTAGAATGTGTTTCAAACGACAAAGTTGATGTTGATCTGCTGAGAGATCTGAGAAAAATCACTTTCTATAGGTACCTAGGTATTCACAGTAAACGTAGGTACCTATACCTACTGTTAAACGGTCAATATTCGTTGTTGCATGCCTCTTTCTATATGTCTTGCAATTACCTATTTGATGTTCACGAGGATAATCCGGAAGTTTCTTAGAGTTAATCATATACAGTGGTGAATCGTTACAACATTGTTATTAGACGTGATTTCGTCGTGAGCATAGCACTACATCATCATGTAGCAACGCACTGCGGACTTAAATCTTGTTATAAGT